TAGGTTCACTCTTACGCCATTCTTTTGAGGATGGGTTATAATAATGGACAGAAGCCATAGCATAAATTGGTAATTGTGCAGGCGATGTGCAGGGAGAGAGGATGAGTGAATTTTGAAACCAAAGTTGGAAAAGTTATTGTACTGAGAGCAGCGAAGGAGGGAGGAAAATAAGGGGAACATCTGAGGGGTGGGAGGTCAGTATAAAGTATGGTATAAAGAGGTGTGGGATATAGCTATGAATGATAAATTAAAATGTTCTATTAAGGTAAGGCAGGGAATATGCAGGAGAAATGATTCTGAGGAGATATGGAAGGTGTTTGCAGAAATTGTACTGCTTAAACGGAAAGGGGTCAAACCATCACAAGAGGTGTTGAAATTTTGGGAGGCTGGATAGTTGCAATGGAATGATCTCGGTGGTGGGGAGCACATTTTTATTCTGATTTATTTATGATTATTTGTTGTTGTTGTTGTTTAGTCGTTTAGTTGTGTCCGACTCTTTGTGGCCCCCTGGACCAGAGCACGCCAGGCCCTCCTGTCTTCCACTGCCTCCCGCAGTTTGGTCAAACTCATGCTGGTAGCTTCGAGAACACTGTCCCACCATTCTCGTCCTCTGTCGTCTCCTTCTCCTTGTGCCCTCCATCTTTCCCAACATCAGGGTCTTCTCCAGGGAGTCTTCTCTTCTCATGAGGTGGCCAAAGTCTTGGAGCTTCAGCTTCAGGATCTGTCCTTCCAGTGAGCACTCAGGGCTGATTTCCTTCAGAATGGAGAGGTTTGATCTTCTTGCAGTCCATGGGACTCTCAAGAGTCTCCTCCAGCACCAGAATTCAAAAGCATCTTCGGCGATCAGCCTTCTTTATGGCTATTACTTTGTCCAAAAAAAAGAAAGAAAAGAAAAGAAAAGAATTCTAGAACTGAGTCCAGCCCCCTGCAATGCAGGAATCTTAACTAAAGCATCCATGACAGATGGGCGTCCAACCTCTCCTTAAAAACCACCACTGAAAGGACTTCCACTGTCAAACAGCTCTTACCCTCAAAAAGTTATTGCTGATGTTGAGTCAGAATCTCCTTTCTTGTATCTTGGAGCACTTGCTTTGGGTCCTACCCTCCAGAGCAGGGAGAAAACAAGCTTGCTCCATCTCCCAGCACTTTAGATATTTGAAGATCATCTCCCTTCTCAGTCTCCTCTTTTCCAGCCTAAACGTACCCAACTCCCTCAAAATGATTTCTCCTAAGCCTTGGTTTCCAGACCCTTGATCATCTTGGTTGCCCTCCTTTGCCCACTTTCCAGCTTGTTGATATCCTTCTTAAATTGTGGTGCCCAGAACTGGACACAATACTTCAGGTGGAGTTTGACCCGGGCAGAAGAGGGTGCTACTATGAGCTCCCTTGATATGGACACTGTACTTCTGTTGATGCAGCCTAGAATAGCATTGAGGGATGCGGGTGGCGCTGTGGGTTAAACCACAGAGCCTAGGACTTGCCGATCAGAAGGTCAGCGGTTTGAATCCCCGTGACGGGGTGAGCTCCCGTTGTTCGGTCCCTGCTCCTGCCAACCTAGCAGTTTGAAAGCACGTCAAAGTGCAAGTAGATAAATAGGTACTGCTCCGGCGGGAAGGTAAACGGCGTTTCCGTGCGCTGCTCTGGTTCGCCAGAAGCGGCTTAGTCATGCTGGCCACATGACCCAGAAGCTGTATGCCGGCTCCCTCAGCCAATAAAGCGAGATGAGCGCCGCAACCCCAGAGTCAGCCACGACTGGACCTAATGCTCAGGGGTCCCGTTACCTTTTTTTAGAATAGCATTAGCTTTTCTTTTTTCTTTTCTGCCGTATGACCCCGTTAACTCATGTTAACCCTGTGGTCTACTAAGACCCCTAGATCCTTTTCACATGTACCCCCGGCAAGCCAGATGCCCCCAGCTTATACAGTGGTACCTCTGGTTACATACGCTTCAGGTTACACACACTCAGGTTACAGACTCCGCTAACCCAGAAATAGTGCTTCAGGTTAAGGAATTTGCTTCAGGATGAGAACAGAAATCGTGCTCCGGTGGCGCGGCAGCAGCAGGAGGCCCCATTAGCTAAAGTGGCGCTTCAGGTTAAGAATTTGCTTTCAGGATGAGAACAGAAATCGTGCTCCGGTGGCGCCGGCAGCAGCAGGAGGCCCCATTAGCTAAAGTGGTGCTTCAGGTTAAGAACAGTTTCAGGTTAAGAACGGACCTCCGGAACGAATTAAGTACGGTACTTAACCCGAGGTACCACTGTACTGATGCAGCTGGTTACTTCTGCCCAAGTCAGAACCTGACATTTGTCGCTAGCAGAGCACACAGCCTCACCCACAACCAAACTCACAAATAAGGCTCCAAACAGCTCAGAGAAGCAACCAGCCTTAATCCAAAAGACACAAGCTCACTCTCTTCAGTCTCCTCCCTCGCAAATGTCCCTGTTTACAAGTCCTCCATGCTGCTTGGGTTTCTGACTAGCTGATGCTTCAGACACCAGAAGGATCTATTGGAGACTCTTTGCTTTCACCTGCTGGTTGGCTGAAGTATTGAGAGTCTATTTTAAATTTGTCGCTGCTGCCACCTGTTGCAGAGTTTATGTTGCAGCACTCTCACAATTTGGCATCTATGTTGGAACAGGCAATCTGTCAGATTGTATCCTTGGATTGTTATTTTTTTTAAAAAAAAATATTTTTATTACAAGTTTCCAAAATTTTTATAACACAAAACAAAACCATACAACAAACATAACAAACATATAATACATGTATAATTTCAACCCTTATTTTCTTATACCTTACTTTCCCGACTTCCTCATTCCTCCCCTTTCTGTATTCCAATACAGTATCTAATTACTTGTTCAGCAAATCCTTCCCTTATTTTTTGCTTAATTTTAACCTTATTTTTTCTCTTTGACTTATCCATTACCGCACATAACCACATATTTTCTAATCCAGCGTCATTTTAACATTCATTGATCTTGCAATATTTCTTTAAATAGTCCTTAAATTTTTCCCAATCTTCTTCCGCTGTTTTATTCCCTGGTTTCGGATTCTGCTCGTCATCTCTGTCAGGCCCATTTAGTCTATCACCTTCGTCTGCCATTCTTCCAAGGTGGGTAAATCTTGTGTCTTCCAGTACTTTGCGATGAGTATTCTTGCTGCTGTTGTAGCATACATGAAAAATGTTCTATCCTTCTTTGACACCCCTTGGCCGACAATACCCAAGAGAAAGGCCTCTGGTTTCCTCAGGAAGGTATATTTAAATACCCTTTTCAGTTCATTATAGATCATTTCCCAGAACGCCTTAATCTTTGGGCACGTCCACCAAAGGTGAAAGAATGTACCTTCATTTTCTTTACATTTCCAACATTTATTATCAGGCAGGTGATAAATTTTTGCAAGCTTGACTGGGGTCATGTACCACCTATAAATCATTTTCATAATATTTTCTCTTAGGGCATTACATGCCGTAAATTTCATCCCGGTGGTCCACAACTTTTCCCAGTCAGCAAACATAATGTTATGACCAATATCCTGTGCCCACTTAATCATTGCTGATTTAACCGTTTCCTCTTGTGTACAGTGGTGCCTCGCAAGACGAAATTAATTCGTTCCGCAAGTTTTTTCTTCTTGCGAGTTTTTCGTCTTGCGAAGCACGGTTTCCCATAGGAATGCATTGAAAATCAATTAATGCGTTCCTATGGAAACCGCCTTCAGACCAGGTCCGGGGACAGTCTGTCCCCCGACCTCTTCTGAAGGCTGGGGGGGGACAAGGGCTTTTCTTCCCACCCCCAGCATTTTAAAAAACCCCGGGACAGCGGAGGACTTCTCCGCTGTCCGGGGCGATCTTAAAATGCTGGCGGGCGGCATTTTAAAATCGCCCGGGACAGCGGAGGACTTCTCCGCTGTCCGGGGCGATTTAAAAGCCCCTGGGAAGGCAGGCAGGGGGGACAAAGACTTTTGCCCCCCGCCAGCCTTCAGAAGAGGTCCTGGACCTCTTCTGAAGGTGGGCGGGGGGCGAAAGTCTTTGCTCCCCCCCGCCTGCCTTCAAAAGCCGTCCACGATAGCGGGAAGCGCTTCCCTGCTATCCCGGACTGCTTTTTAAAATGCTGGCGGTGGGGAGCAAAGCCTTTCGGCCCCCGCCGGCCTTCCTGGACCTCTTCTGAAGGCCGGAGGGGGGGAAAGGCTTTGCTCCCCACCGCCAGCATTTAAAAGAGGTCCCCGGAGATTTCCCTATGGGCTTTCTTCTTGCGAAGCAAGCCCATAGGGAAATTCGTCTTGCGAAGCAACTCGCAAACGGAAAACCCTTTCGTCTTGCGGGTTTTCCGTCTTGCGAGGCATTCGTCTTGTGGGGCACCACTGTATTCCATTTCAACAGCAAGTTATGTTGGAACAGGCAATCTGTCAGATTGTATCCTTGGATTAACCTCGAGCAAGGCCAGAGGACATAAGCTTCCAATGGCACATCTAGCTATTGCAAATCATTTTATAATAATAATAATAATAATAATAATAATAATAATAATAATAATAATAATTTTATTATTTATATCCTGCCCATCTGGGCAGTTTACAGCATATCTAAAAACATCGTCTTTAAAACTTTCCTAAACAGGGCTGCCTGCAGATGTCCTTCAAAAGTCAGATAGGTGTTTATTTCCTTGACATCTGAAGGGCGGGCATTCCACAGGGAGGGTGCCACTACCAAGAAGGTCCTCTGTCCTCTATCTAGAACAAGGCTGGGGGAACCTGTAGCCTTCCAGTTGTTGTTGGACCAAACTGTATCTGTCCAAGCCAGCATGGTCAATGGTCAGGGGGTGTTTGGGTGGGCTGTACTTGGGTATGTCAGAAGATTAAAATGAGAATGGAAAAGGCTCAATCCCTTCTAAACCCGGCCCGTGGACGGTCTGGGAATCTGCGTGTTTTTACATGAGTAGAATGTGTTCTTTTATTTAAAATGCATTTCTGGGTTATTTGTGGGGCATAGGAATTCGTTCATATTTTTTCCTTCAAAATATAGTCCGGTCCCCCACAAGGTCTGAGGGACAGTGGACCGGCCGCCTGCTGAAAAAGTTTGCTGACCCCTGCTCTTGAGGAAAGTGCTGCAGAAGTTGAGCCAAGCCGTATGCAGAGAAAAACACTGCCCTCTTCCCTGACCCCTTCCACCCCATCTCCCTGGTCATAAATCCCCATCTGAATATTTTAATCTCCCCGATGGCTCATTCTTCTTCAGAATCTCTGTATTGTTCTGCTCTCTTCTTGCCCTGAAGGGGAATGTTGTTGTAGAGACCTTCCTCCTGGTCTTCCCCTGGTTTGGCTCCGCTCTCCATCCATGATTGCGATATTGGGGGCTGAGGCAGAGCAGGGGGCGGCAAGGCAGTAAAAGGCGTCTGAGTCCTGAAAAGGAGAAGGAAATTGAGGGACATGTTCAAAGAATGATGATCCCCCCAAGGCTGTTGGGAGCAAATTGAGGGTTCGCTTCATTCAGTTTTGACAGCAGCCAGCTGGACACTCCTGGGCAACTCACAAACAGGCCACCCTCCTCTTTTGCTTATCTCCAGTGCACAGCAATTCAGAGGTAGACTGCTTCTGCACAGTGAAGATCTACTTAGCTGTCATGACTAAAATGTTTTGGCAGAATATTATTCACGAATGTACCTCTTTTCAAAAGGCACCTAAACCACATCCTGTAGCAGCCAATCCCATAGCTCAGTTTCTATTTCCTTAAATAGAGATTGTGGGGGAGGGAGCCAGTTAATGTATTATCAAAGGTTTCATGGAGGAAGTTGTGATGGTTTTAATATGAAAGACAGAAAGAATCTCCCAATCCCAGCCATGAATGGAGGGGGAAATAACCTCGCTAAACTATTTTATTTTTAAATGTTTCCACAGTTTCCGTCCTAGTTCTTACACAGAGAAAACGCATAGCATCTCACAGCAAAGGTGAAGGGCCAAGTAACTCAATGATTAATCCCCCTCTTGTGAGAAGTCCAAACGGCCATCAAAGCATCTGTCTGAGGACAGAACCATGTAGCAGGAGCTGCCTGCCCTCCTGGGTCCAGAATAGACATTAGAATCATAGAATCATAGAGTTGGAAGGGACCGCCAAGGGTCATCTAGCCCAGCCTCCAGCAACCTGGAATCCTGCTCTGCTCCCTTCGCCCCTTCTGCCCCCACCTGTCCCTGTCCACTGGCTCTGTCCCTGTCCCAGCCACCCCATCCCTTACAGACATCTTTCCTTCTCTCCAATATGCCAGCCATTTCCCCCTCCTGAATCAGGTAGGTAGCGGTGTTGGTCTGACGCAGTAGAAATATATATATAAAAATTAAAAAATTGTCCAGTAGCACCTTGGAGACCAACTAAGTTTGTTCTTGGTATGAGCTTTCGTGTGCATGCACACTTCTTCAGATACACTGAAACAGAAGTCACCAGACCCTTATATGTAGTGAGACAGGGAGGGGTATTACTCAGAAGGGTGGTGGGAATGGGTGATTGGCTGATAGGTGTCGACTGTTTACTACTATCAGCCAGTCACCCATTCCCACCACCCTTCTGAGTAATATCCCTCCCCACCCTCTCACTATATACAAAGGTCTTTTGACTTCTGTTTCAGTGTATCTGAAGAAGTGTGCGTGCACATGAAAGCTCATACCAAGAACAAACTTAGTTGGTCTCCAAGGTGCTACTGGACAATTCTTTAATTTTTAAAATGTGTTTCCCCCTCCATATCTGCCATCCCCAAACTTGTCCTTCTTCCTGGATAGCTCAGTTGGCTAGAGCGTGGTGCTGATGATGCCAAGGTTGCAGGTTTGATCCCCGTAAGGGGCAGCTGCATTTCCCTGCATTGCAGGGGGGTGGGACTAGATGATCCCTTTCAATTCTACATGGGTCCCTTCCAATTCTACAATTCTATGATTCTTCCTGTGGGGTCTCTTTGCTCCTTTTTCTGCCTGGGACACCCCCCACTGCCTGTTCCTCCAATCGCCTTTCATCCTTTTATCTCCCAGCCAACAAGACGTTGTCCCTCTCTTGACTGATAAGTCTCTCCTGCATTTCCAGGTTGCCAGGCTCTGGGTTCAAGTTTTCCTCCCCTCTGGAAACTCCTTGCATGGTTTGTGGGTGCTCTTCGCCTCCAACTATGTTCAAAACTTTAGGAACTGAACTGCTGCCTGAGCTGGCTCTTTCGCTCCTCCCTTCCTCCTTGTGTGCCACAACCATTGTTATTTTGGTCGGCCAGTTTGGAACACTTTTTGGAAGAAATGCTTTAAATAAATAAGAAATTATGAAGACACACATCACATCAGTGTTATACCAGCATTAGTTGCCATTACCTCTGAGGCTTCCTTGTGGCGCTGAACATTTCAAGGTACTCGGAATTTGCTTCTTCCCTGTTTTCCTGTTCGGATTTCAACGCTTCCAAAGTGGAAATGGAGAGAGAAAAGAGAAGAAAGATGGTGAGACAGGGCTGGTCCTGAAAACAAACCTCTTGTGGCTGGGAGTTCCACAAGACAGACACAGGCAAGGCTCCCTCCCACACCCTAACCACATCCAATATGAAGGAAGACAAAATAAATGCTTGCTTTTAACCAACACTGCTTCCATGACCACCACTCTCGTGACGCAGAGAAGAGCACCATCCACTAATAGGAAGTGACAGGAGAGGGCCACAGTTCTCAGCATCACCTACCTCTATTCCTTCTCGTGCAGTAAAAAGCAAGAGGGACCATCAGGATCGCCAGTGGAATTGCCAAACATGCATATAGCAGGGGTGGAGAAGAGGAATTTGGTGCCCAAACTGCAGAAAGGAAAGAAGGGGATTCAGCTGTTGGTATGAATAATTGGGGGGGGGGACTCCATTGTAGCCATTGCTGTTGAAGACACAATAACAGTAATTCACTGAAGTTAAAAACACAGTGATCATACAAGCGAATATCACCATCTGTTTATAATGCCTGTTTTAATATAAAATAGGATTTGTTTTGCAAATTAAAGTGCATGTGAAGACAGGCTCCATATAGTGGGTCCGACAGTCAAGAAGGCGGTTTCTGTGAGGGGCAGGTGGGGCTTGGGAAGGGGACTCTGACCCTCAACCTCCGCTGCCTTGCGGGATATCTTGGGGAGAAGAAAAGGCTCAAGAGGAAACCCTAAAAAGTCCCTAAGGCGGTTGGACGGGGCCTTGTACTCCTTCTGGCAACTCCTGCAGCCAAGCTGGTGCCAAACGTTTTGCTTTGCTTTCCTTTGGACCCCATCAGCTGTGGGAATGTTCAGGGTGGCAGGAGAGGATATATTGTTTATTAATATCCTTCCTAACTTATGCTAGCAAGTTCCTTTACTTAGCAGAGTTACATTCCCCCTTTTTACATGCACAGCAGATAGCTGGTTGCAGGCTCGTGCGAGCCTCTCGCTATTATACAATTCGTTCTGTCTTCGGATTGAATTGTACGTTCCTGGTAAGTTCCCTTGAATCCCTCTTAAAAGAATAAAGACGCCACAATCTTATTCAAAGTAAATAAAAGAAGTTTACTTGCATCAGTTCACAGATGGATTCCTGAAGGCAGACTTAGTTACAAATATGTACATGTGGAATCTACCCCATAAGGAGGAATAATCCCAGTGCTTCTGCTAGCAGAGCAGTCTTAGCTACAAGCTGGTCAAAAGATGAAGGAAGTCAAAAAAGGGAAAGGTTGCTGCGTGACTTGTCCTTTTGTTACCTGGACAGGTTAGGTCACACCCACCTTCTATCACATGTGAAGGGAAGGATGCTCCAGCCAGGAGGAATAGGGAGTTTCGACTGGCTGGAGCAAACATCCCCTCGCATGTCTTCTCTAGCATTTCAATGAATGTTGTACAGTGGTACCTCGCAAGACGAATGCCTCGCAAGACAAAAAACTCGCTAGACAAAAGGGTTTTTTGTTTTTTGAGCTGCTTCGCAAGACGATTTTCCCTATGGGTTTGCTTCGCAAGACGGAAATGTCTTGCAAGTTTGTTTCCTTTTTCTTAACACCGTTAATACAGTTGCGACTTGACTTCGAGGAGCAACTCATAGAACGCGGTGTGGTAGCCTTTTTTGAGGTTTTTAAAGACTTTGGTGATTTTTGAAGCTTTTCCAAAACTTTCCCGAAACCGTGCTTCGCAAGACGAAAAAAATTGCAAGACGACAAAACTCGCGGAATGAATTAATTTCGTCTTGCGAGGCACCACTGTACTTGACTGCCTTTCATGGATTACACCCCACAAAGCCTATGGGGGGCTTTGAACTCAAACATCAAAGGGGGGAGGGTCCCAGCGCTAAAGCAGACCCTAACCCCCAACTATTGCCACCAGTTGGAAACCACTCACCTGTGAGGTACACCTTCTGACTCCACGGAGAGACGATCCACCCCCTGCTCGTTTTTTCCTCATACCTGCAGGCAAATTCCCCGGTGTGGTTGAGCTTAGCCTTCAGGATGTTGACAGACACACCTGCGGAGGCACCCCCATGTTCTCTGGAGAACCGCAGGGACCCACCGCTGTCGGAGATAATCTGAACACCATCCCTGAAGAAATGGAATCTTTTCTCCACGCCGCCTCCTTTGGCCAAGCAAGTGAGGAGCAAGGGGTCTCCTTCGTTCACCACTCTGGACGGAGGGTCCATTTTCAGTACTGGAGGAGGAAGAGGATCTGGAGGAGCCAGCCACAAAGGAGAGGGGGTTAGGAGGGACCACAAGATGAGGAAAAGCTGTGTCTCAGTGGCAGATCATCTATCTGCTTGTCCTAGATTCAATCCCTCGCATTTCCAGGTAGGGCTGGGAATTTCCCTCAGCCAGCACCATGTGGGATGAGTTCCCATATGGGACGAACTCAAACCCTCATCTGTAACTCTTAAGCTAAATCCTGCCTTCAGGGACCCAATTGTGAACTGAATGTGAGTAAACTTCTCGTTGCTTTAAAAAGAAGACTGTTGTGTTTTTATTCTTTTAGGAGGGAATCCAAGGGGTCTTACCAGGAATAATAGAACTTAAGAGATTCTAACAAATCTGCAAGTTGCTTCCTGCTGTGTAAAGAGGGGAATGTACTCTGCTATATGAATAAACTAACCAGCGTGAGTTAGGAAGGATAATGTTTAATCAAAAAAACCCTCTCCTGCTACCCACAACATCCTCACATGATTCAGTATAAGGGAACTTCCTGTCTTCAAAATGATTGAGGCCAAGGTCCACATAGATGGACTGGGGCAGCCCAGTATTTTGCCCAAATTGAGGGACAGAGTTTGTGGGTTTGGGGCCAGTACGAATCATTATTGCTTGGAATGATGGGGACTGAACTGGAGGAGATGGGGAACATGGAAGTACTGACACGAAAGCTTCCAGGAAGATGTAGAGAAGCCTCACCCCTCCGCTGATGCAACGGAAAGGTCTTACAGTAGGAAGGCTGAGAACATCACACTTGGGGAGTAGGAAATGAGAAGGGACCTATTTCACAGGTCATGAACTGTTGTATCCTTACATCCCTCTAAAAGAGTGTTTCTCAACCTGTGGATCCCCAGATATAGTTGGACTACAACTCCCATCATTCCTAGCCAGCATGACCAGTGGTCAGGGATGATGGGAGTTGTAGTCCAACAACATCTGGGGACCCACAGGTTGAGATCCACTGCTCTAAAACATCTCCCTGAATTCCTACTCATGAGTAATTTTTTAACTTCCCTTCCTCTCCCTTTGTTATTTCTCTCACACCCATGGGGGCAGGGACATGTTTTAATTTGGACATACCAATATTATATATTTGATGTTAGCCGCCCTGAGCCTGACTTCGGCTAGGAAGGGCGGGATATAAATAAAAGTTTATTATTATCATTATCATCATCATCATCATTATTATTACTACATATACTGATGGTGTTGCAGAAACAAAACACGGAAGAAAAGAGGGGTGTGAAAAGGTTACTCATATGAAAAGATTGAATGGAAAAGCCTGCTTCTCAGCGTGTATTTGGATTCTCCTAAGCACATTTTCTCGCCCAAAGTCTGCCTGAGCTCCCTCTTGCCCCTTCCAAGAGACATACCCCGAAAAAGGAGGCCTCACCCATCACTGCAATATGGATGGAGTTGCTTCCCTGTGATTGCTCTCTCGATTGTATAACATTGTAGGTACAGGAATACTCGCCGCTGTCTTGGGGAGACAGGCGCAGGGGATGTGTGAATGCCCCCCCAGAGGGCGGAGGCTTCTGGAAATACAGTATCCATTGGTGACTGAAAAAGGTGACTCCGGATATGTTACGGTGGTCAGGAGCGGAGCACGTGAAGTTTATCAGTTCGCCAGTTCTGTAGATGTCTTGTTTGGGGGACACAGAGAATCTGGGGGGAGGAGGGTAGCCTGAGAACAAAGGGGAGGAACACAGAGAAAGTTGGAGGAATGGATCAGGAAATACACATAGGAAACTGTCAGGCCTAAGGACAGACGGATCTGTCAGATTCGGTTTTACTGTGTTTCTCATTATTCCAGTTCTCTACATTTCTACAGGAATCCACAGTGTGGTTTTTAAGAAACTTCATGAAAATCCATCAGCATATGCCACTAATGCGGCCCGTGTTTTGTAAGCCCCAAAATGGAAAACGAGCGAGGCCCCAACCAAAGAAAAATGGCAACTTAGGTTGACAGAATACAGTGGTACCTTGGTTCTCAAACACCTTGGTACTCAAACAACTTGGAACCCAAACACTGCAAACCCAGAAGTAAGTGTTCCGGTTTGCAAACTTTTCTCGGAAGCCAAATGTGCTCCGTTTTGAGTGTTACGCTGAGGTCTGTCTGTTTTTGCTATTTCTTTTGCCTTTTTTGTTTTTGTGGCTCTTTTTGTTTTGTTTTTGAGACTGTGTGGAACCCAGTTCAGCTACTGATTGATTGATTGATTGTGTGACTGCAGTACATTGTTTATTGCTTTCATTTTATGGATCAGTGGTCTCGTTAGATAGTGAAATTCATGTTAAATTGCTGTCTTAGGGGTTGTTTTTAAAAGTCTGGAATGGATTAATCCAATTTGCAATACTTTCTATGGGAAAGCGCACCTTGGTTTTGGAATGCTTTGGTTTTGGAACAGATTTCTGGAAGGGATTAAGTTTGAGAACCAAGGTACCACTGTATGCACAACTTGCAGACTTCACATATAGAATAAGAGAACAAGAAGAGCATATGCTTAAAGAAGACTGAAAAATGCTTATTGAATATATGGGAAATAACTGTGCACACATGAAAACACTTGCAGCATTAAGATAAATTCAACAGTGTAAATAAGTTTTGTTGGATACAATAATGGAAGACTGAATGGCATAGTTTTTGTAAAATATGCAGGGATATGTGATATGTAAAATGAACCATGGTAAGAGAAGAAGGGAAGTCGTTGATATCTTAAAGATGTAAAATGAGTATTTTAAATTGTAAAACAGAAAATTTAATAAAATTATATAAAAACATAGAAAATTCATCAGCATCTTTGTGCAAAAACACATTTTTGTATGCCATTTGGACTAAAATACAAATTTTGGCAAGCAATTTCTGCTAACGTTATGCACTTTTGTATCATAAGGCCACAGCCTGCCCAATCTGCAATCACTCAGCCAGCGATCAAACGGTAACCCATACTGTGAACAGCACAAACACTCTTACTTGCAGCCAGGTATTCCAAAGGTCAAACAAACTGTTGCAGCACAAAGCACACACACCTGCCAGCTGGGAGGGCAAACCAGGCAAGGACCAGGATGGTGCCAAGCCAGCCCCTCCCTGTTTCTCTGTGGGTCTGAATTAGGGAACCTCTCGTTAAAATCCAAGCAAAATTGAGTTGCTCCCTGGTTAGGCCATTGGTCCACCTTGATCAGTGTTGTCTACCTGAACTGGGTGCGACTCTCTAATATTTCAGGCAGGGGCCTTCTCCATCCCTACTTAAAGGTGTCACTGCACCCATGAGTCAAAATGTTCCCATACGTCAGTGGCAAGACAGTCCCTGGGTTGAGGCTTCCAGTCGAATAGAAAAGGGAACACAAGGAATCCGACTTTACTAGCTGAACTATTAAGAGACTTCATCGCTCAGGAGCCACACCAGCCACACTCTTCACACCAGACCAACACTATTGTGGTGTGTGTGGTTTCTGCAATCACTCAAAACGTAGCCTCGACTTACTGCTGTGCTTCTGTTCTTTCTATTGTTATAAGAATTCGAAGGTCTCAGATATAAAACAAACGTTCACAAATGTACAAGGCAAACACATATAACCCACGTGTCTGAAATAGTATGGGGGAGCAATCCTGAAGCCATTTTGACTCTCCCAATGACTTCAGATGTTCCTCTGCCATAAGGGAGGCAAATGGGGAAAGCCGTCCCACTGTCTTTTTGCTTACAAATCCTGTCTTAAAGGGCTCATAGGGTGAGCCTGTGACCTGGAGTCAGGAATTAAAGTATTAACCATCACAAAAGAATGGCCAGGCTGCCCAGGTAATGCAATCAGTGACCATTAACAGATATCCTGGCAAACAGGATTTCTGCTGTAGACAACCTTCTTCTGTGATTTATGCATGGTGTTTTGGGGGTGGTCTCTGGCTACAGGGTGGGCAGTTTCAAAAGTCTATATAAGGGCTTGCACACCATTGCTCTGGGTTCTCTCCTCCCTGCTGCGTGTGGGGAGCGGGGACCCTGTTGCAACAGCTTTAATAAAGATCAGGCTTACTAGCCGTTTTGCTTCTCAATATACTCTGGTTGGCCTCTGTAATTTTCTCCTACCAATAGGGAACCCACTTAAGGACTCTATACGGGCTCTTGGATACCCCATAAGGGAAAAGGAGTAGGTTTTTTTTTCTTATAACACTATCTTTGAACAATGCCTAGAGAGAACTAGACAGGGGGAATGTGTCCCTGTTGGTTCTGCTGGACTTCTTGGGGGCTTTTCATAGAATCATAGAGTTGGAAGAGACCACAAGGGCCATCGAGTCCAACCCCCTGCCAAGCAGGAAACACCATCAGAGCACTCCTGACATATGGTTGTTCAAGCCTCTGCTTAAAGACCTCCAAAGAAGGAGACTCCACCACACTCCTTGGCAGCAAATTCCACTGTCGAACAGCTCTTACTGTCAGGAAGTTCTTCCTAATGTTGAGGTGGAATCTTCTTTCTTGTAGTTTGGATCCATTGCTCCGTGTCCGCTTCTCTGGAGCAGCAGAAAACAACCTTTCTCCCTCCTCTATGTGACATCCTTTTATATATTTGAACATGGCTATCATGTCACCCCTTAACCTCCTCTTCTCCAGGCTAAACATGCCCAGCTCCCTTAGCCGTTCCTCATAAGGCATCGTTTCCAGGCCTTGGACCATTTTGGTTGCCCCTTTGATATCACCAACCATGCTATCCTCCTGGGCTGCCTTGCTGGGGTGGGACTGGAGGCCCTGTTTTACAGCTGCTCTGTTCCTTCCTTCATGTCCTTCATTTAACATTTACATGAAACTGCTGGAGAGGTGGTCCAGAGTTTGGGGGTTCGGTGTCACCAGTATGCTGATGACACCCGGTACATATATTATGAAAACAGCACACAAAAATGCATTATATCGGAGAAGATTCATCTGCAGAAACGCGTATGTTAGGCAAAATTGTATAAGAATGTGTATGTCACGAGAAATTCGCACTTTAAAGCTGATGAATTTTCACGAGGGCTTAAAGACATCAGAAGCCGGACGTGAAAACATGGGGGATTTGAGATTGGTAAAATGAAAAAAAACAACAACTGAAAATGGCAGATTGCCCATCTCTCATACAACTTTAGGAGACATTTGGCAATGAAATTAGATGTTTATGCTAATTATTTACTCTAATCGTTAAAAAAGACTAACCCAACCTTGGGCAGTTGGGTTTATCCACCACCGTATATAATTTCTGTAATGGGCCAGTTTTATCGAGTTTATGCATCAAAACAAAATTCCACTACCAGCCTTTCAAATAAAGGCCTCTTTGTGTGAAAAAGACTTTTCCATTCACCTCCCCAACCCATTTTTCAGTTTTACTTCATTCCCACCCACACCCTCATTTCCGCCTCCCAGATTCTGGCTTTAAATTTTCTTCTTGGTGTGGCAAGTTGAAAATTGTCATTTTGCAAGCAATTTTGGATTTAGTTATTTCACATTCAATTTCTGGATTATTCTTCTCCTTCTATTAACAGACTTCTTACACAAATATTTAAGAGCAGGAGTGGATGCAATTAGTGCATTATTTGCCTTAATTATACAGCAATAGAAACAAGCTTTTTAATCAGCCATTGGAATGGGGAAAAATCAGAGATCACATCCCCCATCTGCCCCATGGCAGATTCATCCATCCTATTTAAACTCATTCCACCATTCTCCAAGTTGACATTGCTAAGTACAGGATCTGTTTCATTATTTTATTTTTCCTTTTCTTTACACACAAGGCGAATGCATTATCAAATTAAGATAGAGTGTACAAATGTTTAAATCTCACTTCAGCTGTCTCAAAGAACTTGTAATCTCTATTATATTTGCAGAAAAGCAATGGGGAAATGCAAATATGAAACTCCACCTTCTGACACCTTTTTCATACAGAATAAAGAACGCTGATTCTGATTTATGGTATAATAATTTATGGTATAATGATAACCATAAATTATATGCGAGTAACTTCTTTCTTTTGAATTATGGTGCTGGAGGAGACTCTTGAGAGTCCCATGGACTGCAAGAAGATCAAACCTCTGCATTCTGAAGGAAATCAGTCCCTGAGTGCTTACTGGAAGGACTGGAAGCTGAGGCTCCAATACTTTGGCCGCCTCATGAGAAGAGGAAGAATCACTGGAAAAGACCCTGATGTTGGGAAAGATTGGAGGGCACAAGGAAGAAGGGGACGACAGAGGGCGAGATGGTTGGACAGTGTTCTCGAATCTACCAGCATGAGTTTGACCAAACTGCAGGGAGGCAGTGGAAGACAGGAGTGCCTGGCGTGCTCTGGTCCAGGGGTCATGAAGAGTCGAACACGACTAAACAACAACAACAACAACTTCTTTTAGTTTGCTCTGTGTTAATTTGAGTTAATGGGTTATCTCCAATCTTAGTCATACATGGAGAAGACCCACTGAAGGCAGTGGCCTGCAGCCTTGAATTTGCTGCCGCTATCGAGAGTCCCACCTTATTCCTGCAAAGTTCCTTTCTCTGCTTTTAGCAACTGATGAACAGGCAGAAATCCAAAAGGGGAAGATAGGCTAATCAACATGCTCTGGAAAGCTCCACCTGTTGATTTCTACCTGTTTCAGAGCTGCTAAATGAGCAAGAGTTGTCTCAAATCGTTTAAAGCGTGATTCCTAACTGCACCACCTATCCAAGACGGGCTGAAATTGTCATAGCAGGAACCAGAAGTCAACTTTACCTGCACAGGCCGATCCCCAGAGGTGGGTCAGGAGAGAGACTGGCAGGAAAGAAGAGAAGAGAAAAGGCATGAGGAACTGGGGAGGGGAGATATCGACGGGTGGGGAGTTTTTCCATCCGAGAGAGAGAAGGGAGGTCTCAAACCTGTCACCAAGGTCACAGATGCCATGCTCGGTCAGTGTTTCTTGAAAGCTGGTTCCTCAGCTCATGCTGTCTTCTGCCCCAAAAGAGGTTGCAAACTAGACATACCCGATTCTATTATTTCCCAACCCCAAAAGACCAAGCCAGGAAATGTATGGGCAGGTACACACCCACACGTCGCTACCGGCCCCTGCGCACAACTCAGCTCGGGGGCCCTGGAGACAGCCTAGGTGTTGTTTAACACTGTCAACAGCAGCTAACCACATCCAAGCCTCTTGTGGCTTCACCTCCCTCACCCACAAAAGCTTCTTCAGAACTGACAGCAGCCTGGGCCTGGAAGTAAGGAAGAAACTGCATGCAGCTGACTTGAAAAATTGAAAACCAACTTTTCACCTCGCATCATGCCGAGACATTGTGTGTGGGGTGTGTGTGGGGGGTGTCTTGTACTAGGCCTTGTTAACAGAGACATAGAAAAAATAGGGGTGGTTGGATTTTGCTGCCCAACTCCCCCAAGGGACTCCCCTAAGTCCCTGATCGGTCAGAGATGAATGGATGGAGGCAAGAGGCAGTGAAAGCAAGGTAGATTTTTATTTTTTGGTTGCAACAGAGTTACTTCCCCTCCTTGCAAGGCAAGAGAGACCCTGAACCAGGAAGAAACATCTCTTTTAGGAGTTTTACCAAACTGCGGGAGGCAGTGGAAGACAGGAGTGCCTGGGGTGCTCTGGTTCATGGGGTCACAAAGAGTCGGACATGACTACACGACTAAACAACAACAAAAATTTTGGTGTGAAGGAGGACATCCGCTCTACAAACAGTCAGAAATTACTATATCACACCTAAGGTGGAGTTACTGTGGCTCAGGCAGGCCAAGGTGTGATATTCCTGAGAATTTAGCAAGTTTTGCATAGTTCCAGACACAGTTTACACAAAACATTGGCATTTGATATGACAGTCAAGATGCCTGTCAGTCATCCCTCAGTGCAATCCACCAATTGGCTAGCAATGTAGGACCCAACTTGACCAGAAACCTCTACAATTGTCTTCAATTTCTTCTTCTGTTGTTTGGTGGAAAGAGAATCTCACTGTACAACAGCCCCTCCTCTTCAACTGGCTGGAGCTCATTCTCCATCACTGGTCCTGAGGAAGTTGCAGTGGAACAAAAGGGGAGGAGGGCATAGGTGGCACCTGAGCCCTGTGAAAACAGAAGAAACTCAAATGTGCCGTTGCTCACCAATTAAACCAAAAAGGGCCCGTTGAAAATGAAGCTTTTCTCCCACTTTTTCGAGCTTGTTTACAAATGCAAAGGGATTCCGTCTTAAAGATATAAATGTGAATAAAAGGTAATGTTTACATAGTTCTTGGCCTATGTTAAGGACTTAAAGAAGACAGGAATGCATTGCTAGTTTGTTTAGAGCAATGCGTTACTTTGTATTTGTTGACATTTTATTTTGTAACTAGTTTAAGACAGTTCTGCAGTAAAACATTCTTGTGGTAAAGCTTATTTGTTTCTACTCTGCATAAGGTTCAGATCAGGGAATTTCACTCAGATAACAAACATTCAGCTCTCAGGAAATGTCTTCAAGGAACCCAGGGAATTGGTGGGCCAAACAATGGCCAACACCTTTTGATAATCAAGAACTGCCCTGCTAAGTCAGCTCAACGGCTGATCTAGCTCAGTTTTGTGTATTTTGCTTAACACCAGGTCACAATCTATATTCATATCCAATTACTCATAACCTTGGATGAGCAGTGAGTGTGCACTGGCAAATATCCCCTTACAACAGGAATAGGCAAACTCTGCCCTCCAGATGTTTTGGGACTACAACTCCCATCATCCCTAGCTAACAGGACCAGTGGTCAGGGATGATGGGAATTGTAGTCCCAAAACATCTGGAGGGCCAGGTTTGCCTACCTTACGAACATGCACCATTTAGCACCAGGCAGTCAAATGCCCCCTGGGACGCTCACAAGCAGCTATGAAGAGGACAAACTTATATCTTGCATTTGGACACAGAACTGCCAGCTGGTTCCCAATGTTAATAACTATTCATGGACATCTCTGTCCATGAAATCGGCTAATATTCTTTCCATAATAATTGCCACTATCATATCCTGCGGTGGCAGCATGTTCCACAAAGGTTGTTGTGCCGTTTTCTAAGGATGGAATGGTTATTAATCTCACCCCTTACCTGACTGGGTGTTGTCTGGGGCTCCAGTGTTCCAAGATCACCTGGTCCCTCCTCCTCCTGTTCTTCTAGCTCAGATTTCCCCCAACATTTCACTGCTTCCAAAGAAACAGAGCAAAAGAGTAAAAATGTATAATATTGTCACCCCTGCTGGCCGTTGCCTTGCAAACTCACATCCATCCAGAACAGAGGACCAGAAAGCCTCTGCAAATCTCTCTCTCTCTCTCTCTCTCTCTCTCTCTCTCTCTCTCTCTCTCTCCCTCTCCCCCCCCCCCATCAAAACAAGATTATCCACATTTACTGTCCAGGAACAGGTCCACGCTTAAAATCTCTGTGTCCAGGTTTGTGTGTTTTTGTTCCAGAGCTTTCCCTGCGAAAACTTGCTCTTTAGCACTCAATTGGAACAAACATCCGTTTGAATTTTCTGCAGATAACCATTTGCTCTGATTGAGATTTAAAGAGCAGATGTCTGCAGGGAAAGCTCTGGGGCAAAGGGGGGAAAAGGGCTTAGACATAGATCTTTTAAGCACAGACCAGTGTCCAGAAAGAGCAGGACAGAGAGTGGGGAAGTGTGGAAAAGCCCCCAATTTCAGGCTATGAAATGCAAAGAGATAACCTCCAGCCCCCACCGCTTACCACCAGTCTTTTTCCATCTGCAGTAAAAAGCGAGTGAAATCATCAGGATCACAAATGGGACAGCCAAACATGCATAGAGCAGCGATGGACCTGGTGATGGAGAGGAATCTGAGAAAGGGAAATCAGAAAGGGTAAGGGGTTAAAAAAAAATCAGTCTTGTTCTTGAAGGCCCAAGTCAGGTAGGAAATATCACTTTCAGCAAATCCTTAAATTCTGAAAATTCCTTTAAAATATCCCACATGGGGAAATAATATAAGCACACCCTCAGCTTCTCAATGCTTGACCAAAGGAAAAGGGTCTCTTGGACAGTAACCGGGGTCAGACTTTCCACTCTGTCCCCCTATGAACTTTTCACAGTTCCTGTTGACTGAGCGAGTAAAGTGCAGGAAATCTTCTCTGTTCACCACTCTAGGCAAAGGATTCACTGATGGCATCAGAAAAAGGAAGGGATTCTGGTAGACTCATCCACAAAGGAGTACAGAAGCTTAAAACGAATACAGTGGTACCTCAGGTTACATACGCTTCAGGTTACAGACTCCGCTAACCCAGAAATAGTACATCGGGTTAAGAACTTTGCTTCAGGATGAGAACAGAAATCGTGTGGCGGCGGCCCAGCGGCAGCGGGAGGCCCCATTAGCTAAAGTGGTGCTTCAGGTTAAGAACAGTTTCAGGTTATGAACGGACCTCCGGGACGAATTAAGTTCTTAACCCGAGGTACCACTGCAATAGACTGTGGTCTACTTGGTTTTTAACAGGAAGTCATATAACTGGGTCAAACAGCTATATGAGAGTCATGGGTCTGAGATTAGTATCCTGATTTCTTGATTGCCAGTCCTGTGGTCAATTATGTTTCCTGAAATTTTTTTTAATGAATCTAGATTCAGCCAGAGAACAATCTTCCCCCTGTCCCACCCCCCAAAAACTGGAGCTTGAGACCCTACAATATTGGTGGTGATTCTCACATCCCCCTGCAGTGACCATCTTTTGCTCACTCATTCATATATTTATGGAAAATCCAGATGGAGTTGTTGCTAAATTGTTATACAGTGGTACCTCAGGTTAAGTACTTAATTCGTTCCAGAGGTCCGTTCTTAACTTGAAACTGTTCTTAACCTGAAGCACCACTTTAGCTAATGGGGCCTCCTGCTGCCACCACACGATTTCTGTTCTCATCCTGAAGCAAAGTTCTTAACCCGAGGTACTATTTCTGGGTTAGCGGAGTCTGTAACCTGAAGCGTATGTAACCTGAAGCGTATGTAACCTAAGGTACCATTGTATTGCAGTGATTTTTTAAAAAATGATTTTAAAAATAATGGAAAAAAATACAGAACTTGCTCACCTTCCATTACTACAGAGATGATGTTGCTACGTGGAGACTGGATTTCCTTATTTTCTAATCTGATGGAATATGCACAGCTGTAGTTCCCGGCCGTATCTTCACCAACACGCAAAGCTTTATGGGGAATCATCAACTCATTACGGGGAAGTGCCTCAGATGCCTGACCTTGTAGCTCCTTGTAAAATGTGTATCCTGCCGCTTCCCGCCCATCAGGAACTGAGCAGAGCAGGGTAATCTGTTCTCCATGGGTGTAAACAGGATTCAGGGGGTTGAGGGAAAGGGTGGCAGGGAGTGGGAAATCTGGGGTTGGAAGGAAGAGAAGAAACAAACCAGTCGGCTGGGGGAATAAATGGGTGAAATGCCCTGCCATAACCTCCGTCATGGAGCTTCAATATGCTGATGACAACATAGTGTGTGCACACTCAAAGGATGACCTCCAAACCATCCTAGATATCTTCACAGAAGCTTACGAAAAGCTTGGCCTATTGCTCACTGTCAGGGAACTGCCATCAGAGACAAGAGGACAGGTAAGCCTCCCCAATGAGGCAGGGGAGGGAACTAGCAAGGAGAGAGAGAGAGCGTCCGCTGGGGAAGGCAATCAAGGTGACACCAGGAAGACAGGAGAGGCTGAGAGTCCTTCGGAGGGAAGGCTCCGAGACTCTTCCAGCGGGGAGAGCACAGGACCTCCGCTTGGCACGCCCACGCTGCGCAGAAAGCTTCCACGCAGAGAATCTAGGAGGAGACTTGGAGTCAAAGAATTCTTATGTTGGAAGAAGTTTAGGAAACGCCCACTAACGGATTCTGCCAGTGACTAAGACAGTCGCGTTGTAAGGGCTGTCAAACCAGGGAGAGTTTTAGCTATACAACCAGCTCGGAGCAGTCTGGATTTTACGCACAAGCAACCCAATTCCCATTACACTCACCATCCAAAAAACCAAAGTGCTGCACCAACAAGCACAAAACAACCCCTCTGCAGCGCCACAAATCCAACTTAACGGTGTAACGTTGGAAAATGTCGATCACTTTTCTCACCTGGGCAGTTATAGTTCCACAAGGGCCGACATTGATGCCGAAATCCAGCTTTGCCTCAGCTCTGCAAGCACAGCTTTCTCCCGACTGAAGTGCAGAGTGTTTGAGGACCGGGACATTCGCAGGGAAACCAAAACGCTTCTTTACAAAGCTATTGTACTACCAACCTTGCTGTATGCTTGTGAAACGTGGACCACTTATTAACACCATCTCCAACTCCTCAAAAGATTCCATCAATGGTATCGCCGAAAAAATTTGCATATCACTTGGGAAGACAGGCAAACTAATGTCAGTATACTGGAAGAAGCAAAGATCACCTGTGTTGAAGCAATGATTCTTCAACATCAACTTCGTTGGACTGGTCATGTTCTTCAAATGCCTGATTATCATCTTCCAAAGCAACTACTCTATTCTGAATTTTAAAAGAGGAAGCATAATGCTGGTGGTCAATAAAAGAGGTTTAAAGACTCTCTCAAGGAAAATCTTTAAAAATGTAGTATAAACACCAACAATTGGGAAACACTGGCCTGCGAGCGCTGCAATTGGAGAACAGCCTTTACCAAAGGTGTCATGGGCTTTGAAGACACTCGAACTCAGGACAAAAGGGAGAAATGAGCTAAGAGGAAGGCATGTTTGGCAAACCCTCACCATGATCAACTCCCATCCAGAAACCAATGTCCTCACATTTGAATTCTGGTGCTGGAGGAGACTCTTGAGAGTCCCATGGACTGCAAGAAGATAAAACCTATCCATTCTGAAGGAAATCAGCCCTGAGTGCTCACTGGAAGGACAGATCCTGAAGCTGAGACTCTAATACATTGGCCCCCTCATGAGAAGAGAAGACTCCCTGGAAAAGACCCTGATGTTGGGGAAGATTGGGGGCACAAGGAGAAGGGGACGACAGAGGACGAGATGGTGGGACAGTGTTTTCGAAGCTACCAGCATGAGTTTGACCAAACTGCAGGAGGCAGTGGAAGACAGGAGTGCCTGGCATGCTCTGGTCCATGGGGTCACGAAGAGTCGGACACGACTAAATGACTAAACGACTAAACAACAACAACAAATACAAATAATTTTGAAACTTTCTTCACTTTGAAATCTAAGTCTTATGGCCTGTGTTTTCTTACTGCTGTATGGAAAAGCACATGAACCTGACCTTCAGAGAGTTTGTAAGTAAACCATTTTTAACTAGCCAAGTCTGTGGCCTCTTTTTATGCTAACCAAAATGGGTAACTTTGGAAGCATCTTAGAAAGGGAGCCTATATTTCCATGCTTTACTTTGCTACATATTTTGTGGTTTTAAATCTCTGCTGGGGCTCTCTCACCAAAGAGTGTTTGCCCTAAACCTGGATCTAGGCATCCAGGGAATTCTCCTTTTGTTTTAGCTAGTATTTTTTCCTTCAAACCAAATACAAAAAAACCAACACAAAGTTTACATTTATAATTGTTTACGTGCCACAAAAGCCACACATTTCATAGAGGAGAACTTAACACGGTATCTGGGATGCCAAACTCCCAGCTTTCCCCAGGTGTGATTCCCTGAGCTGCTAGGAAACTACAACATTCTGGTTCGTGTCCTTTCCACACTTTCATCACATCCAGATGGGGCTGGCCTTTGGCGCTGGGGAGAGAGTAATTCATTCACAAGAAGAAAGCTTCTTACCAGCAACAGAGAGCACAATTTGGTTGCTCTTTGCAGACTCCCTTCCTTCCCTTTTTTTCCTCCAGTAAGAACACACAAACCTTTCCCTTGACTCCAGATGCATTGTGGAGACTTCCAAGATACTGCGGTTTATTATTCTATATTCGGACCACTGACCATGTCTGGTGGCCTTAAAGAAATAGAACCACTCTCCCTTATGCCCTTCTGGTCGGTGGCATATAAACTGGACTTTCTCTCCTCTGACAAAGGTGGTGTTTGCAGGAGAAGTGGTCAGCCTGGGTGCTGGTGGAGGTGGAACCGTCAGATAACCTGGGGAAGGAAAGGAGAGGCCAATTTACATCTTTCCTTTGGACCTCCTCCTCCAGCCAGTTTTTCATTGACCTCTTTCTTGAACTCTAAACCCCAAATATTTGCAGCCGAGCATCAAACCTAGCTGTGTGCGGTTTTTAGTTCTGGTATCAGAGAGAAGCAGAGAAGTATTCTGGGTCAGAATGCAGCACAAGGCATTGTCAGTGATAGGATATTTGGAGCCTGGGTGGGAAAGTGGGTTTGGGAGAGATCCTTGATATAGGGATCTTCAGTCACATCCTGGTTTAATCTGTTGACCCTCATTTCCCCCTGTTGTCCATTATTTGTATTCTCTCTGCAATAGATTTGTACGGAGCCTGGAAACACCTGCATTTTAGAAAGGACGAGTTAAGGTGCTTACAATGTAACAGTGCCTTGCTTATATTTCATAGAGCATTTATATCTTCCCCCATCCCATAAATGCAGATCTTCCCCATCCTCAAACCACACATCTATCTGTCATGGTTTGCTTTTGGACACATTTTGCTCTCTAAAACATGTGCAGAGACAAAAGTTGCTTCTCCTCTCCTCCCCTCTCTGCAAGGAAGCAAGACTCATTCTTTGACGGGCAGTCATGCCATGACTTTAATTCTTTTGTGTAGTCTGATCACTACCCTTGGTCTTTGTAATAATCATCATCATAATTTATTATTTATACCCCGCCCATCTGGCTGGGTTTCCCCAGCCACTCTGAGCAGCTCCCAGCAGAATATTAAAAACACGATAAAACACCAAACATTAAAAGCTTCCCTAAACAGGGCTGCCTTCAGATGTCTTTTAAAAGTCAGATAGTTGTTTATTTCCTTGGCTTCCGATGAGAGGGTGTTCCACAAGGTGGGCGCCACTACCAAGAAGGCCCTCTGCCTGGTTCCCTGTAACCTCACATCTCGCAGGGAGGGAACTGCCAGAAGGCCCTTGGAGCTGGACCTCAGTGTCTGGGCTGAATGATGGAGGTGGAGACGCTCTTTCAGGTATACTGGGCCGAGGCCGTTTAGGGCTTTCAAGGTCAGCACCAACACTTCGAATTGTGCTCGGAAACGTACTGGGAGCCAATGTAGGTCTTTCAGGACTGGTGTTATGTGGTCTCGGCAGCAACTCCCAGTGACCAGTCTGACTGCTGCATTCTGGATTAGTTGTAGTTTCCTGGTCACCTTCAAAGGTAGCCCCACGTAGAGTGCATGGCAGTAGTCCAAGCGGGAGATAACCAGAGCATGCACCACTCTGGCCTGCTTCCCCGATGGAGCTGGTAGACAGCTGCCCTAGACACAGAATTGACCTGTGCCTCCATGGACAGCTGTGAGTCCAAAATGACTCCCAGGCTGCACACCTGGTTCTTCAGGGGCACAGTTACCCCATTCAGGACCAGGGAGTCCCCCACACCTGCCCGCCATCTGTCCCCCAAAACAGTAGGTTTCAACATACAGGTTAATTCTACTGAATCTGATTTTCACCTAGGGAAAGTCAGTGAGGGCGTGTGTTTTTCTCAGTGTGGTGTAGTGGTTAAGAGCGGTAGTCTCGTAATCTGGGGAACCGGGTTCGCGTCTCCGCTCCTCCACATGCAGCTGCTGGGTGACCTTGGGCCAGTCACACTTCTTTGAAGTCTCTCAGCCTCACTCACCTCACATAATGTTTGTTGTGGGGGAGGAAGGGAAAGGAGAATATTAGCCGCTTTTGAGACTCCTTAAAAGGGAGTGAAAGGCGGGATATCAAATCCAAACTCCTCCTCCTCCTCTTCTTCTTCTTCTTCTTCTTCTTCTGTCTTGAGGTGAGGGCATTTACGGTATAGGGAAAGAAGTAACCAGAAATGGTGGCAGCTACCGCACTCACAAGAATCCAAATGTGCCCATGGGGCTTTCAAAAGTTAGTGACGCCAGCTGCAAGGATGAATTGATTTTCTTCTTACCTCCAGTGGGCACCATCCAGGAAAGAACCAAGAATGAGACTGAAATCGAAAAGGAAAGAGATTGAGGATGATGAGAATATATCCCAGATGAAAGCTCAGATGCCTGTAAAAGATGGTCAAAGCAGTTTCACCCACAGGCTGACAGACATGAAAATTAATGGAAAGGCCTTAAATGAATGAGACTGAACAGCAAAACACATGGAGGCAGAGAGAAAGACTGGATGAGCAAAGGAAAGTAATGAAGAATGAAGAAGATGCAATGAAGCAAGGAGAAGGGGAGCAGGGGGAGCAAATGCTGTGCACTGCCTTCTGAGTTCCTTAGCCTGGAGCCCCAGTCTGTTGCTGTGTTACTCCTGGTGCCTGCTAGGGTAGAAAAAAGCCCGATTGTTGTGTGCGCAGAAGGTGGAGAGTACAAGCCCCTAAGCCGCCAGTTAGCTGTGGGGCAGAGGATGAGCCTGTCCTAGGAAAAGGGCGCTTTGATTTACAAAAATGCTCCCCCAAAGAAAAACATGGCTTAGCAAATTGGTAAAGGGACCCCTGACCATTAGGTCCAGTCGTGTCTGACTCTGGGGTTGCGGCGCTCATCTCGCTTTATTGGCCGAGGAAGCCAGCGTACAGCTTCCGGGTCATGTGACCAGCATGACTAAGCTGCTTCTGGTGAACCAGAGCAGCGCACGGAAACGCTGTTTACCTTCCCGCCGGAGCGGTACCTATTTATCTACTTGTACTTTGACGTGCTTTCGAACTGCTAGGTTGGCAGGAGCAGGGA